GACACGCAATAGACTCTAAATAATAAATGATCACGTCACCAAACACACATTCAGACTAAAGGAACCAGCCTGTTTNGCAGAGGCTTAGATCACTGGATGACAGAGTTGTTCACCGTGTGCACAGACAGGGTTAACTTCGGTATGACAACAGAATTGTGCCAAAACTCCGCCAACTCAGTTGGCGGAGTTTTGGCACAATTCTGTTGTCATACCGAAGTTAACCCTGTCTGTGCACACGGTGAACAACTCTGTCATCCAGTGATCTAAGCCTCTGCCTCCTGTAAAGTTTCACAGGTCTGTCGGTTATGTCCTGCGCGGCTCGGCCAGCACCCAGTTCAATCAGTCATAGAAAGTCTGAAGATTTTTGCAGGGAGCGAAACGGCAACGTAGCTGCTTAATGTCTTTGTTTTTTGTTACATGTCTCGTAGTTTACTCCATTGAGTGTTGACAAGAAACACGTGTAGACGAAATATGTGTTTTGTTTTGATGTTTTGAGGTACGCAAAGGCGCGTGGTGACACAAGTGACGTTAGGCAATTCAGATTTGTGCCGCGTACCTGCGTACCAGTTATGTTCACCCCTGGTTATGTAGCTTTTTATGCATGTAAACGGTCTGCAAAGTCACAAACCCTCAAAGTACACCCTGTAGAAAGTAAAACTCTAACTCAGAAAATACCTGTCTATGCTGCCCCAGAAGGCCTCATTGGAGATTCTTCTTTTTCAATTTTCAGGTGCTCCAACAAGCCGTGTAGGACAGAGAGTGAATATACTATACAGAGTTGCTGTATTAGAAACCACTGTGAGTTTGGAACATTGAACAATGTAAATCTAATCTAGTAGACCTCAACAATGGAATTATGATCAGTAGAAATGGCCATGTCATGGGACCTTTAAAACATCAACTCTCAGGTTCCTAAGCAAAGTTCCTAGACTGAGCGGCTGACGCATGATGTTACAAATGATTTCATTACAAAGAAAAAAACAAGATACAATTGTTTTAACTTCAAATATAAAAGACATCATTGGGTACTATTTGTTATCAGTCTGCTACCCGCTATTAAAAAGTTGCGACAGATAACCCACAAGTATAAGATATCAGTATGTCAAACTAGATAACTTATAGTATGTTGGACCAGTGTGTTCCTAATAAACTGCATTGTACATATTGAAATAGTATTTGGACATGTTTCTGCTTGCTGTTGTTTCTCAGGAGGATCAGTTTTGGCAGCTCCTCGCCAATATCCAGCAGAAATGTGGCTTTGTTTCCTGTGAGCCCCGTTCACAGCTAGGAGGAGGTAATTATCATGCTCCATTTATTGATGTAAACATGGCAATTGTTGCTATTTGTCAAGGACTTCACTGATTTCCATTTAGATGCTTTTTTTCTATGTTACACTAAAAAGAACATCGTAGAGTGGTGCGGTCATGACCTATTTCTGTAACCCAGAAATGAGCACTGCATAGGCTCCCTCCACTAAATCCAATGAGATTTAGAAATATTTCTGAAAATGTGCTTAGTGGCAAACACACATTTATACGATTTAATTTTTCAGCAGGTTAACCCTGCATATTGAAAAAAAGACAAACTACATCAAAATTCTATGACTTCATGTCACAACTTCTAAAGGCGTCTAATACTAGGGGTATGAAATCGTAATAAGAAACTGAAATTATAAGTAAAATGTGATTTGTTGTGTTAGAAATAGTTATATGAACTTGCTGAGCAACTGAATGTGTTTTCTCTGTCTGCCTACAGCCACAGAGCTCAGGAGGCAGGTGGCTGCAGGGCTCTGGCAGACTGGCTACCATGCTGACTGGATGTATGAGCGGGGGGGAGGAGAAGGAGGGGAGGGAGGGAGATTCTCCAGCAAAGACCTCCTGCTGGCGCTGGGCTGGCTGCTCGCTACAGGAACTCTGGAGAAACTGCTGACTCAGAGAGTGGAGCAACTGGACAAAACACTCATACTCACTCCTTCACCTGTAAGCACCACAGCATTATGCGGGTGAATATTTCTGCAAAAGGACAAAACAAAGAAGTCATTTTTGTTGCCACGCAAGTAAACGCATTCTTCTGTTTTAGATCAGAATAGATAGATTCACCTTTATTGTCATTGCACTGAGTAAAGGAACTAAGAACGAAAAAAACGAAATGCAGTTAGCATCTTAGCAGGATTGCAAAGCAAGTATTAAAGTACAGTGTTATTCATAGTATTAAATAAATATAAACATCTGACAGTATTAACACTTGGAACAGCATAAGGAGGTATACCCATTACAAACAGCAGTATACAAATTGAATACATTAGTTCAGGTATAAGAATAGACAGTATAAAACACTATAGACAGAATAAATATGAATAAGCTATAGACCGTTATTGATATTTTATATAAAATTAAAAAAATATCAGAATGCTAAGGAAAAATCAGTTTGGCCAGTTCTGTTCCCTTCTGCTGGGATGAAAGAAGCATTTCAGACCTGACAATATATTATCATATCATACATTTTGAATACATGTATTTGTGTAATCTTACATTTATATTCTCTCTCTCTCTGTTAGGTAAACCATCGGCTTCCAACTGAGCTCCCGTTGGACTCAGCATCTCTCCGGAGGCTTCAGTGGCTCGTTGGTTCTCTGAGACACCAGGGCCGCACCCTGCTGTCCATGCAAGAAGAGAGGACCTGCCTTCTCCATGCTGTGAGAAAACCCCCTCTTTGCAAACTTTTTATATCATTTGACAGTAATGCAACGAAAAACTCTTCTCAAAGTTCAACAAATAGGACGTTTTGAAGCAAATGTGCAGGAAGACTGTTAACGTTTCCCTTGAAAACTGAAAAGAAGTTATTTTCTTAGAAAAGAAGACAAGGAAAAGTTTTTCTTTTCTGATGCACAATGATGCATGAAATCAGAATTGTTAACTAATTGAAGTGTAAAATATTGATGTAAAATATTGATATTAAGTTTTATTTTCAGGTTTCTGTTGCCAGCCTTCCATCCTCTGTATCCCCCTCCTCCTCAGATCAGAGCTCAACATTGCTAAGGAAGGTAAGTCTGTGCTGTTATTCAAATAATTCTCCATAATATTATTTTTATGTCCTTTGTTGCGGTTGAATAAATAAAAAATCAATCAATCATTATCGTCTTAATTTCTTACTTTCTGTCCGCTAAAATCATTTGGGCTTTGTAAGTGTGAAGAAAACAAATGTGAAATTCAGTAATCAGTCAAATACAGTGGGGCAAAAAAGTATTTAGTCAGCCACCAATTGTGCAAGTTCTCCCACTTAAAAAGATGAGAGGCCTGTCATTTTCATCCTAGGTATAGATGAGAGTAACAAATGCGTCACTTCCGGGCAAATATACTTGAGCATAGCCAATTTAAATTAACCTTAGTGATGCATACAGTTCCTACCTACATAATAAAATATCTCTAAGTAACAAGGATGACCTTATTTTATCAACCTCAAACAGAAGCTGTTTGTTCAACAGTATTATCCCACTTTACACTTAACACTTCTCTATTTCGTTTTAACCTTTATATATACAGTCTATGATTTTAACTTGGAGGCTACGATTAGCATCGTTAGCACCGATGTAGCTACCACTCGCTTAGCCTTAACATTCATTACGTCGATTAAAATCATTAACACATAAATAAAGCACTCGAATTTCACTTACCGCAAAACCGCATTCATGCACCGTCTGTTTCAACCGCAGAGCGAGTCACAATAACCCGATATATAAGCATGAAGAACAAACAACCACGGCCGGCTTCAAGTTGTGTTTC